TATATATATATCGGCGGGTATCAACCATTAGCATTTATTCTTTCCTCATGATGACTTGACTGAATAGCCGTCTAACATATTCTCGAGAGCTCTCCAGAAATCCTAAAAATCAATGGAATTTGGAGAGTTTCTCTCCTGTTGATTTTCCTGATCATTCTCCCTATTATATTTTTACTATTTTCTATAAATCCTTTGAATAGAAGGATTTCCTAATATTAATTGTTTCTGAGTCTTTATTCTAAAAAAGGTGAGTTTTTTCATCAATTTCTATGCTAAAAGTAGTAATTTTTGTTGGATAAGGCTAGAAATTTTGTTTTTTTTTCAAATTGAATCTGTGCAGTTTCTGGAAACATTGGCACATACAAGTCTTCTATCTCATTTGCATGAACCTGTACAAAACATTCCACAACTCCAAAAATCAGAAACATTTTGAAGAATAGACAATTTGAAATTTTGAAATTCTCAAGTTTCAAAAATCGAAAAATCGATTATCTAACGACCCTTTTCAGCCAATGGCACCGTGACTTTCCTGAAGACTCTTGTGAGAAAATTAGAAGGCAAAAACTTCCACAAAGGCAAGATCATTAATTGCCAAGCTGGTCGTGAGTTCACATATCGGGAGGTGTTTTTTCAAAACGGTTTATTTTCAGAGACTATTTCCACAGAGCTACTCCGGCGAGCTGTTGTCGACAATCACCGATCGTTTGAAACTTTAAAAGAAAAACGAGGCTGACAACGGAGATGTTCCTCAGGCAGTTAAAGCAGCGTCGGCAGCCCATTTCTTCTATCGTGGGCAATGTTCGAGACGCAAATATTGTAAGTAAACTTTTCATTCAATATATATACCTCCAGTTACAAACTATTAGTATTCATTCTCTCCTCGAAAGTACCGCCCATAAATTTTTTCTATCTAATAACTGGTTTTGGAGTATTTGTGACATCAGGTACCATCGTTATAGTCGCTCAGAACCGTAGAAAAAGCATTGCCTTTCAAATTTCAAAAGCTGTCAAATTTCAAATGGACTTTTCCCATAAGAAAAATTATCTATGCACAATGGAGTTCGTCAAGATTATGCTCATAAAACAATAGATGTAATTTGAATTGTGAATGAATAGCTGTAAAAAAATGTAGTATGTGAAGTGTGAATGCGAATCACTCTTCCTGTTACATTGTGATTCAACCCCACCTGGTTGGACACTTTCTGAAAACAATAAAAATGGGACTGTGAGTCTAAATGACACTGAAAATAACTGAATAGGTGAAGAGAGACCCTACAATAGTAGAACCCCACCTGGTTGGACCCTAAAGGCTCCTCCCCAAGTGGGGTATATATATATCGGCGGGTATCAACCATTAGCATTTATTCTCTCCTCATGACAACTTTACTGAATAGCCGTCTAACATTTCATCGAGAGCTCTCCAAAAAGCCTAAAAATGAATTGATTTTTGAGAGTCTCCTTTTGATTTTCCTGAATAGTCTCTAACCCCTATCAGCTATCTCCTATTATATTTTTACTATTTTCTATAAATCTTTCAAAAAAATAATTTCTCAATACAAAATGTGAGTTTTTTTTCAATTTCACAAACTTCGCCCTAAAGGCCTATAAATATAGCATTTTTTGTTGGATGAGGCTGAAAAACTCTATTTTTTTGTCAAGTTTACTTTGTGTTGTTTTAGGAAGTTCAGGTATTTGGTTGGTTACAAGTTTTTTATCTCATTCACATGAGTTTGTGCGAAAAATTCTCAACTCAAACAATGGGAGATACATTTTTGAAAAAGTTCTGAAAATGCAAACCGCCAACCAAGAAGAATTGTAATTTTATAATTTAAGTCTGGCGGTAATTTGGAAATTTTCAGGTTTCTGCGAGCTTTGCTCTAGCGCTTTTTAGAGAAATCTAATCTTTGCGTACATGTTAACAAAACGCATGGATTTCCGAAGATCCATTTGAAGAATTAAATTGCCCGATTGAAGACGTCAGGTCCGGAACTCGATGAGTGTCAATTTCTGAAGGACGTTTTTGTAGCTTATCGTTCGATCCAAAAATCATCTTCTGCACCACGTCGTCGTGAAATTGTGCTTTACAGTTGAATCAAAAATCTTCAGAAGTCGAAAAACGAGACATAAAGCCGTAAGTCGGAAATTCCTAATTCTAAAATTCTAAAGAAAAAGTTTCGCGATTTTTTTGCAAACATCTAACTTTAATACCTAGTACAAATTCTCAATTTTTTCAAAGCTAGGAAATTGCTTATTTCAAAAATGCATTTGAGATTTCGCTCAAAAAACTTTGAACCAAGTTGTGAACATTTATATAAAAAGACATTAAAAATTTTTAGATAGAGGCGTCCTATTGCTTAACACTCTTAAAATGAGCATAACTTGGCACTGAAAAATCTGATCTTGATGAATTTTATATTTTCAAAAACAGCACTTTTCTGCTTCAGAATGATATGTATTATCTCAATTTTGAATCGGAAACGAAAATTTTGGAGAGCTTGTTTCCAATTGTTTGTTTGTTACTATTTTTTCCAACAAAAAAAAATTCAAAATCAGATTTTGTATCCTTGCATGGAAAGAATATCAAAATCTAGCTAAAAATTCAACAGATCAACAAATTTTTGTCACAGAACGCTATATATTAAGTTATGGCGTTTTAAACAAGCGTGACTTTTTTCACAAAATTCAAATTTGAAATTGGCGTAATTTTGGCCGATATTCTTTGTTTTAAAACAATGTTCATTTTTTTTCGAAATGAACGTATATAAGAAATTCTAATTATCAATTATTTCTCAGAGATGTCCAACGATCAATCAAACTGAAGCCAATTGCCGACAGGATGCAGATGAGGTCATAACTGTGGAGACCACAATTGAGGTGAAAAAATTTGCCAAAGCACTCCGAGATAAGGTGAGCAATCTTTCCTGGAAAGAAACATTCAAAAATGACCTTTTTATTAAAATTTGAAAAATATTCAAAATTTAAAAAAATGATATGAATGTATATTTTTATGATTTTGAATTTTGAAATTTGAATTTTCAAGACAGTGAAAAAATATTTGAAATTACTTAAAAACTCCCTAAAATCACAAAAAATGTTATTTTTTATCATTTTAATTTTTCGCGTCCAAATAACCTAGTGGATTTTTTAAAGATGAATTTGTGCAAAAACGTTTCAACTCAAAAAACGTAGATACGTTTTGTGAAAAGTTTTGAATCCTTTAAGGCTCATCTCCTCTTCCGAAACGCTTGAAACAACTCGAGTGGTGAATGGAAAAGCCAAATGTGGGTTTTCCAGTTTTTAGTTTTTTTGAAAAATCTGAAATTTCGTTACCGGTCAAATTATAATTTTTCAGTTTCTTCCGAATTCTGTACAAAAGATTTCACAAAAAATCTTACTTGAACAAACACCGAAAAAAGAATCACAATGCTCCAGAAGTTTTTAAAATGAAAGAAGCAATCCGTTAGTTTTAAACAGTATCAAAACACAGAAATCGACTAAATTACAAATAAATGCGGAACTTGCCAGAAAAATCACTGCTCGACATCCAGCTTAAAGAAAAATTTGAAAGAGAAACACACAAATAATCCGAGACAATTTCCGGGTAAGACAATGAGTATCACTACAAATGAGCTCAATTATCTCAATTCCTATGCCAGATATGAAAAATTGCCAATTGATAAAATGTTTATCATAATATCAGTAAAATTTTATCAGTTGACAAGTTTTTCATATTTTTGACAGGAATCCAGATAATTGAGCTCAAACATTACTTCTTTCTTTCAGACAACTCCCAAATCCCACAGGCGCCAAGTTGAGCAAAATAGAGACGCTCAAATTGGCCAACGCGTATTTAAATTCGTTGAAAATGATGTTGAATGAGAAGGAGGACACTAAGTTCCAGCCAATGGTCACTGGACACAAAAAAAATCAAAATGGAGCCGACGGAGCCCAAAAGGATAAAGCAGGAAAACGTCAAAAGTATCGAAATGGAGATTTTGGAATACCAAGAGCGGGCAGAAGTCGTAGAATATGGAAATAGAAAGTTTTATGATGAAACTAGCGTTCCGGAAAGTTTTTTCCGAGAGTTAGATCAGGATTTGGAGTTTTTTTTTCCGGAGAGCTGGCACTAATTTTTAATTATAAACTGTTATCTTTACCTTTCAATAAATTAATTTATTTTTCTGGCTTTATTGACATTTTGATGAAAAGATTTTCCAATTTTCGTTCAATCTAATCCAATAAATTTTGAAACATTCGAAACTGGAATTGGCGCCTCTGAAAATGCGGAAATTGAAAAATTCAAAAACATTCAATGTTCCCTAATTTCTTATTTCTCATCTAGACCAATAAAAAAACTAACTGTTTATATATAGGTAAGATTGTGGAAAAAATTTCAGTTTATGCCAAAAACATTTCAGTTTATGCCGATTTTTCGCATAAAAAATAGTATTTTTCATTGTAACTGTATGATTTAAATTTTTTCAGCGAGTATTAGCTAAATTTAAGCTTTGTAACGATAAAAAAATTTAAAAAAATTTACAAAAAATTACATAAACTGAAAATTAAAAAAAATGATAAAAAATGTTCAAAGTTCGAAGTTTTGATGGGAACAGTCATAAAACTTAAAAAAGCGGTAAATCTCTACTTAGGGATAATTTTTCCACTTGAACCCCCCCCCCCCCCCTCTTTCTCATGGGCCTTGTCGTAAAAAGCCGAATTTTTTTCTCAGTCTAATTTTTGGAGTCTGATATCGTCCGGAAACATTTTTTGACAGATACAGTAACACTTTCATGCTTGAAAAGGGCTAGAAACCAGAAAAAAAGATTTTTTGTGTTATTCTTTAATTTTTACCACAGTGACATCAAATCAGCAGTGGCATTAATTAAAGGCTGGCACTCAATTAGGGATGGCTATCTAACAGAGTTCTCACGGTAAACACGACTAGTCTCCGCCTATTTTGATATTTTTGGTTTAAAGGCGCATGGACCCCGAGAAAAAAAGGAAGCCAGAACATTAGGTCATTAGTATACTCATTCTGAAGTTCTTAACAAAATATAAACAGTTAGTTTTTTTTATTGGTCTAGATGAGAAATAAGAAATTAGGGAACATTGCATGTTTTTGAATTTTTGAATTTTCGCATTTTCAGAGGCGCCAATTCCAGTTTCAAATGTTTCAAAATTTATTGGATTAGATTGAGCGAAAATTGGAAAATCTGTTCATCAAAATGTCAATAAAGCCAATAAAAATAAACGAATTTATTGAAAGGTGACGATAACAGTTTAGAATTGAAAATTAGTGCCAGCTCCCCGGAAAAAACTCCAAATCCTGATCTAACTCTCGGAAAAACCTCTCCGGAACGCTAGTTTCATCATAAAACTCTCCATTTCCATATTCTACGATTTCTGCCCGCTCTTGGTAATCCAAAATCTCAATTTTAATACTTTTGACGTTTTCCTGCTTTATCCTTTTGGGCTCCATCGGCTCCATTTTGATTTTTTTTGTGTTCAGAAACCATTGGCTGGAACTTAGTGTTCTCCTTCTCATTTAACATCATTTTCAACGAATTTAAATACGCGTTGGCCAATTTGAGCGTCTCTATTTTGCTCAACTTGGCGCCTGTGGTATTTGGGAGCTGTCTGAAAGAAAAAAGTAATGTTTGAGCTCAATTATCTGGATTCCTGTCAAAAATATGAAAAACGTGTCAACTGATAAAATTTTACTGATATTATGATAAACATTTTATCAATTGGTAATTTTTCATATCTTGCATAGGAATTGAGATAATTGACAAGGGAGGTGTTTTTAGAAAGACTTTCAGAATTTGCTGAAATTTTGTACCAAGGTACTTTCGAACATGCTGAAAAAGGTTTCAGCAATATCTCGATCATAACCCTAATAGGAACCAAAATATGGGATCTCAAAGTGTTTTTAGTACTAAATTTTGGTCAAAAATGAGCATTTTTCGAGCTCTAAAAGTCTTTTTCCATGATTTTTTCAAATGCGAAGTTTATTTTTGAACACATTTCTATCATCTGAAGTCGTTTTTAAACAGTTTTTCGGAAAAAACCCCATTCAAAACGATTCGAAACTTTTCAAAGATTGTGGTCTCCACAGTTATGACCTCATCTGCATCCTGCTCGGCAATTGGCTTCAGTTTGGTTGATCGTTGGACATCTCTGAGAAATAACTCGTATGGGTACTTTGTGGTCAAAATTTATCAAAAAAAATTTTTTTTGATAAATTTTGGAGAATTTTCCAATAAAAAATTGTTTTTGAAAAAAATCTTATTTTTCTCTAAAAAATGCAATTTTCCGTCCGATCCCACCTCCGGAAAAATGTCAGAAAAAACTATTTTTCGAAATTTTGTTTCATCATTTACAAATAGAATACTTACAATTTTCCTTAAAATTAGATTATAAAACAACTTTTTTCAAAAAAAAAAAGCTTTTTTGCCTAAAAATCAAAGCTGGCGCAAACTGTCCGGGCGTTCCGGGCCTTCCTAGCCGTCGCAATTATGGATTATCCAGCTCATAGAGCCCTTTCAAGAGTTCACTCCAAAAGTGAGAAATTAGTACTGAAATCACTTTAAAAGACCATTACTTTTCTGTGAGTGGATACGGAGAAAAAAAAAACATCACTGTAATCAGCATGTTCTAGAGTACAATAGGCCAAAGTCTCAAGAAATTCTCAAAGCCTGTCTGAAAACCCTTACCTTGTAAAGTGTGAATTCGATCTGCCCGTCCCGGGCTGGACCTTCAACGATTTTTCAAGTATGGTAAAATCTTTTTAAAAAACCAGGAAAGAAAATCTTGGTGTACTAAAATGTTCGAAAATCAAAATAATTTGATTTGAACGTGTAACAGGAGGATCCACAGACAGTCAAGACCTCAATAATTACTATTCCTATCCAAGATATAAAACATGTATCCACTAACTAAACTTCTGATATTATGATACACATCTTACCAGTTGTCTTTTTTAAAATTATTTGACAGACTATATATATAGGCTCAAAGACGAAAGTTAAGGGGTCATTCTATTAGAGGTTTCACGTAATAGTAATTTTTATTAGGGTCAAGACTTGAATATTGGACGGTTAGTTTTTTTTTGAATTTTAAATAAAATGAAACACAAATATCTGTTTTTTATTGTCCCCTTTTTCCTTGTCTTGCTGGACTTTTCCCATGAGAAAAATTGTCTATGTACATTAGTGTTTGTCAAGATCACGATCATAAAACAATAGGTGTATCTAGAATTGTGAATGAGTAGCTGTAAAAAAAAAGCATGTGAAGTGTGAATGCGAATCACTCTTCCTGTTACATTGTGATTCAACCCCACCTGGTTGGACACTTTCTGAAAACAATAAAGATGGGACTGTGAGTCTAAATGACACTGAATATAACTGAATAGGTGAAGAGAGACCCTCCACTAGTACAACCCCACCTGGTTGGACCCTAAAGTCTCCGCCCCAAATTGGTGGTATAAATACCGGCGGGTATCAACCATTAGCATTTATTCTCTCCTCATGACGACTTGACTGAATAGCCGTCTAACATATTCTCGAGAGCTCTCCAATAATCCTAGAAATGAATGGATTTTGGAGATTTTCTCTCGTCTTGATTTTCCTGATTGTTCACTATCTCCTATTACATTCATATTTTTTTCTCTAAGTCCTTCGAGAGGAAAGATTTACTAATATTCATTGCCAATGAGCATTTATTCTGAAGAAGGTGAGTACTTCTTCAATTTCACAAATGCCAAAAAATTACTATTTTTGTTGGATGAGGCTGAAAATCTCTGTTTTTTTTCTTCAAATTAACTCTGTGCCGTTTCTGAAAGTGTTTGAACTTGATTATTTACAAGTGTTTATTATAAATTCAAACAAAAAAAATCTCAATCGAAATAATTGGAGATACATTTTTGAAATAGTTATAAAAATGTAAACTGCCAACCGAGAAGAATTGTAATTTCATAATTTAAGTTTCACGGTAATTTGAAAACTCCGTCCTTTTTTTCCACGTCATCTGATGGCCAATCAAGAATCAGTCCTCATCAGAACTCACCATGACACTCACCCCTGAAGACATTGCCAACCAAAAAAGAATTTTGAAAAATCAAAGAAAAAAACATCATCAGGACATCAATAAGAAGCTAGAAAAGCTGGAACCGTGAGTTTTACCCTTTTCACCGTAAAACCTGTAATAGAAGGGCCTTTCAATTATGAAAAAGCTCTTCTTTTATTTTTTTTTCTTCGTCAGCCAACTTCGAGCCAACTTATCTTGGTTCCTGTCACAGATATCAAATAGTTGTTGCAAAAAATTTTCTAAAATATTATCATCATTATTTCATCAGTCGACACATTTTTGATAACTCTTATAGGAACAGAGATAATTGAGCTCAAAGTCTAAGTAACGATATTTGGCGCTTTTTTTAACTTGAGAAATTTGCAGCAAAGTGCTCTTTGTGCAAAAAAGTTTTGGACTTAAGCGGGAACGTTCAAGCACATTAACACTCATCACAAGAAAACGTTGGAGGTTGCTGGAATTCTGGCCAGAATGTCTAAATATGAGAGAAGGACTGCCCTTTCTAAACCGGAGGAAAACAAAGGGAATAACCCGGTAGGTTATGCATTAACGATTTGTGAAATTTTTTTTCAAAATCTCATTCGAAAATCATTGGAATTCAGTTGTTTTAAAAAATATTTTTCGAAAAACACACACTGACCATAATTCACATTTTCAGATTCAGCTCCGTGCTACAGCTTCGATTCCTGATGTAGCTCCAGCTCCGCCAGTCACCCAATAGGTCATCGGGGACCAGAAACTCATGATCGCGAACATCATCAAAAAGAAGCCATCGTTTAGTATTGGAAACATTCTCAAAGGTTAGAAATATTCTTGATTCTGTTGTTTTTAGTTTTTTGAACTTCTAGAACATTCTGAAACTTTTTCTAGAAACTATTCAGAGAACTAAGCCAAAGAACCTATTCAAATCATAATACCTTCAATTATTTTCTGGAATATTCAATTTCAGAAATGTCGCTTCCACTTGCTCCATCTAGCATCAATCAAAACCGAAATGCTATCCAAGAGAACAATCGTAAGTTGAATAGAAAGTTCCAATTCAAATAAATAATTTTCAGTGACCTGTCAAATTTGCGGATTCGTCTTCAAAACAGATTATATCTGAAAGGGCATAACAAGAAAAATCAAGGAAAATGCAAACCACTTCCCGAGAAGAAATGTAATTTTTATCATTTTAATTTAGAAATAATTTGATAATTTTCAGTTTCCTGTGGGCTCTGCCCAAGCAGTTTTGCACAAAGGTCTGGTCTCAGCAGACATGTTAGTGTGAAGCATGGATCTCCGAAGATCCATTTGGAGAATGAAATCGCTCGGTTCAAAGCGTCAGATCCCGACTTCAATGAGTCTCAATTTCTACAAGACGTTTTTATGGCTTACTACTCAATCCAAAAAATGATTGAGAACAAAGAAAATGAACCAGTGAGTTTTGAATATCGAAACTAGCTTTATTGAAGATCAAATTTATCACTTTCAGACTTCGGAGACCTTTCTGACTCAACCGATGGCTGAAGATGTGTCTGACAGCGTGAGGAGTCCATTGGGATTTGGGATCGACCGTTTTCTAGAACCACTCAAATCAAACTCGATGTGTAAAATTAATTGCTAGAATAATTCGTTACTTTCGTGTCATTTAACTTCTTTGAATGATATTTCAGTTCCAATATCAAGTCTAACTTCAATAAAATTCGAACTGCGAAAATAATCGTGAGTTGAATAAGAAGTTCCATTTCAAATTAATAATTTTTAGTGACTTGTCCAACTTGCGGTTTCGTCTTTAAAATCATTTATATCTGAAAGCTCATTGCAAGAAAAAGCAGGGAAAGTGCAAGCCGCCAACCAAGAAAAATGGTAATTTTATAATTTAAGTTTTACAATAATTTTCGTCGACCAGTCAGTTTTCGCCAATCAGTGAGTTTTGTGGCAATAATAAATATAAAACAATAAAATAATATAAGGCAATAAAACACGTCAACTATCTCGGAAAATCCAAAAAAGCCACGCAACCAAATGAAGCCGCCGGTGGTCTAACAAAAATTGCCCAACAAGTGGATTTGAGAACTTCAGAAGATGTTGCCGGTCAGCAACCGGAATAATTGGCTTAAAAATTTTCGTGAAATAAATTTTGCTGATAAAAGTTGGATTTTTTGTGAAAAATCTAAAAAGTTTCGGATGAATATCAATACTATTCAAAAATGGTTTATGTTGATCATAATTTCAATTTGAAAAAAAAATAACAGAAGAAAATATTGAAAAAAACCACAAATGCTGCCGAACATGACGGGTTTTTTTCCAATTCCAAAATCCAATGATTTTACCAAGAAGAGTTCAAGAATTTGTCTACTAACAAAAACTATTCTCATTCGTTCGAATTTGAAAATTTGGATTTTTTCTGTGAATACCAATAGAATGAACACCAAACTTTGAGCCGAAACATCTCATTTCCTGTAGAAGATATCAAAAAGTGATAAACTGATAAAATCTTCATCATAATATCAGAAATACTTTGTCAATTGATCACTTTTTACGTTTATTTTCAGAGGACGCTCTATCTCTACATGCCTTTCGTGATTCTCTCTGGCTACTGTAGACTCATTCGACTATTGTAACCTTACCTCCACATAGTTAGATATATTTGCCACAGATCTTACAATCGTTTTTTGAAAATTTGGAAAAAAATTCTGATTGATAAAAAGGTTCTTTATCAATATAAAAAATAATTGTGCAGACAATGGGGATGGCGTAAACGAGTACCAAAAAAACCGTCCTAGAAACGAAAAAATCAACAAAATTTATATAAGTGCCATTGTCGGTACAGCTTCGCGCAGTGCTCGGCTCCAATTGGAGATGTGTCAATGTCGGAGTGAATCTGAAAATAACAGGAATTTCATTATCAAAATTTCAGTTTTCTTTTTTTTTTACTTTTTTTTCGCTAAAAATGATCAAACATATCGTATGACAAAATTCATTTAATTTTTTGAAGCTCAAATTTCTTGAAAAATTATGAAAACTAGAAAAAAATTAACAATTTTTTTTGAAAGAAAATTGATAACTAATCAAAATTTTGCTGAAAATTGGTCTAGATTGTTTTTGAATTGCAAATGAAAAAATATTTTGACAGATGAAGCTTCCTCAAAAAATTGATATGGTTCGAAAATTATTTGTTACCTTCTCTCACTGTCGTTTTCCATCAAATCACCGGTATATACAATAGTCCAGGAATGTATTTCGCGAGAAGATTCTGGTGTTTTCGGCCACGGATTTCCTGGAAAATTGGAATTTTTAGAGATTTCAGAGACTCATTGTGAAAATTCTTAGAAAATGCAATACATCAAAAATTTCGGGAAATCACAGAAAAACTGAGAAACAATTTTCAGAAGTATTTAAAAGTCAGAAAGTTTCGAAATTCTCTAAATTCTGTAAATTCTAAAATTCCAAAAAAAAAACAATAATTGATTTTTAAAACTGGTTAGCATTTTTAAAAAAATTTCTTTAAAACTCACCAAATGGATTTCTACCTCTAGTGTAAGAGCTTCTGGAGCTGTTGGCATCTTCTCAACGACGGTTTCCTGTAATTTTCATTCAAAAATCAAATGGTAATAGAGATTTTTTTCTAGCAAGACAATTAGTTTCCGAAACTTTTTTTCTGAATTTCAATCGCATTTTTAGAATTTTTTTGCTTGACATCGATCATGCTCATATTGCACAAAAAATAATTAAAATCTTTCAGGCTTAGAAATAAAATCACCAATTCTTCTCCGAAAAAATATTTTCTGAAATATATTATTTATTGAAACTTTGGTACAAATTGGTTTAGATTTTTCTGTTTTCAAAGTGAAAAAAGTATGTTGAAAGACGAATTTTCTTCGAAAAATTCAATTTGATTTGAAAATAATTGGTTACCTGTAAATTTTCATCTCTCTTTCCTCTCGACCATTTCCGGAACAACTTTAGTTTCCGAAAATAGCAAAAATAGCAGGAAAACTCGTATGTTGGTTCATTAGTATTTTGGCCATTTTGACGTGGTGACCACAAAAGTTTGTAAAAGTTTGGCCACCACTCCCCAATGACTTAGAAAACAAAAAATGACCTAGAAACTACACCAGGGTAAGGTCAAGCCATTTCTAAGCCAAAAAGGGATGGTGGCCTAGAAAACTCAAATTGCAAAAGTTAGGCCATCACTTCGAAATTACCTAGAAGACACACCGGGGTGTGTTAGGCCGTTTCTATAGCATTTTTCTTTGATGGCCTAGAAAACTCAACTTGCAAAAGTTAGGCCACCACTTAAAAATGACCTAGAAACTACACCAGGGTCAGGTCAAGCCATTTCTAAGCCAAAAAAGGATGGTGGCCTAGAAAACCCAACTTGCTAAAGTTAGGCCACCACTTCAAAATTATCTAGAAGATACACCGGGGTGTGTTAGACTGTTTCTATACCATTTTACTTTTATTACCTAGAAAACTTAACTTGCAAAAGTTAGGCCACCACTTAAAAATGACCTAGAAAAGGCTCCTTTGCCATGTTGAGACAGTTCTAGGCTAAAAAAAGATGGTGGCCTAGAAAACCCAACTTTCAAAAGTTAAGCCATCTCATCAAAAATTTTCGAGAGACTTTTTCCAGCCAAGATTTCGAGGCATTCCTAATAAACTGGTCAACTGGAGAGCATTCAAAATTCGAACAAAAACACTCACCTTTCTAAAAATTCGAAACTACAAGAAATATTAAGAAATCCTTTTTTTCAAAAGATTTCTTGAATATAATAAAAATAATATATGGTATTAATAATATTCAGAATAATCAAAGGGAAAGGAACACTGCAAAATCCATTCATCGTTAGGATTTCGGAGAGCTCCCGAAAAGACGTCTATTCCGTAAGTCGTCAATGGGCAAAAATGAGGGTTATGTTTATGGAAAACATAGGGGCGAGGCGCTCGTTTTTTCCTATGAGTCACTACCATGCATTGCTCATTTCTGCCTCTCTGTGTTTCGAAACACTCTACACACAATAAAAACACAATAACAATAAAAAAATGAACTACAATAACATCGAACTGCAATATGACATCATCAACCCATGATGTGCCATTTAGATTCACAGATAATTTTCATGGGAGAATTGTCCTGTTTGGCAGGGGATTCGGGAGACAATTAGTGGCGATTGAAGAAAATAAAATTATTTGAAAGTAGACAATGTCCGAATTCTATGATTCTAACTTGGAAAGCAGGCTGCTCATGGTAGGACATCATTTTTGTTTTTGGTTTCCCGTACAGTATCTTCCTGGCAATTTCGTATTTCAAGGTGGTAATAAGTTTTTCATATTTCAAGGTGGTAAAAAGAGAGCACATAGAAACGATCACAACAGATTCACAATTCTTCATTGTAAACAGATAATTTTTCATAAGACATACCGTAAAATCTGTATTAGAGGGGCCGGCTCTTCTATTTTTCGTGGGGTCTCTAGGGGCACTTCAATTAGAGGGGCCCTTCAATTTCAGGGGCCCTTCTAATACAGGTTTTACATAGTTGTAGAATCTTTCAGCACTTTCGCACGTCTTCCGTTTCAAGGTCTGAATTTACAGATTTAAAAACGAAGTTGTTTGTTGATTCATTTGAATTCAAAAAAGACCGGCACTTTTGACCAAATTCATAGCTTTTTACAATGTTTTCTCATGTTTTTTGAAATCCACGAGTGCTGGAAAAAATTCTGGAAAAGCAAAAAAATACACGTGAATATTCATTTATTGAAACTCAACTTATAAAAAATAAATGAATGAATAAATATTTCGAATTCAAATATATTCCTTCAGTAGACGGCTCCATCATAAGCAGCTTGTTAACAAGCTCTACTAACTTTTCGATTGTCCTAAACTAAATTGCAAATGGTGTTCGGGTGTGTAGCTGTCTTGTCCTATGGCAATTCCAGCTAGTGTGTGGTAGAATGCTTTTACTCGTGTAGATGACACGTGTGGTATCTCAAACTTGGGTAATTAAAAACTTTGGTTATAGTCGTCTGAAAAATTCATAGAAATTGTTAAAGAAAGATTTAAGGACCCACTTGAGCTCTGTTCTCCACCTCCACATTGGTACATCTCTCGCCACATCTTCAATGGCCGCCAACCGATCCATTTCCAGCTAAGCTTCACTCATCTTCTCTTTCTTCCAAATCCAAGCTGTTTTGAACCATTTGTTGTACTCCTCCACATTGATCCGTTTATCCGCGTAGCTGTTTTGGAGGGAAGCTTCACCGAAACAGCTTTTTCTGATATCCCTAACCTCTTTGTCAGCTTTGGCGAACGAGGATTTTGCCTTAGTCAATTTTTTGTCCAAGATGTTCGCCGTATGCTCTAATTGGTTATTAGAGTGATCCTTGAAGCTATTCAAAAAAATTTTGGTGTGCATCCTTCGCGAATCGGAGAAACGATGTTTTGTTGAGCTTCTTTTCCATTTTCTTCAAAGCTGACTTCAGAACTGACTGGAGGCAGTAGGGATTGTTGGATCTATAGGTGCGGCGAAGCGAGGTGTGAAGTTCAGATCACCAATGGGAGCTTGAGATCTTGACGAGTTGGAGCAGGAGCATCGACTATTGGCTGAGCAGAACTACCTGAAAAAGAAATTCTTTTTTCGTTGATTTTTCTAGTTGATTTTTCTAGCTGAAAAATCCTGCAACTTGAACGTTGTAAACACAGTACTGATTTTCTAACTGACTTCTGGGTTCTACGCGTTGCCCTCAGATCGATTGAACTTTGGGGAGGTGACGTGAACATCATTGAGTGGCTAAACTATTTGAGACCACTTTAGGAAGACGATTTGAAAAATTGTGTTAGTTTGAAATATTTTGAAAACAGAGTATTCTTTTTTTTTGTTAGTCTCAATAAAGTTTCAGCCCTCGAACTTGGGTTCAAAAAAATTTATGTTAAAAGCTATTAATGAATATAATTTTTTTTAAAGAAGAAGAATAGAGAACAATCTCAGGCAACCGTCGTCCGTTTGAAGCAAGGGTCAAATGATAAATTGTAAGATTGTCAAAGGAAAGAAGTAATCAAAGTATGTCATACAGAACTTCAAGCTTTTATTATTTAGTAAATACTAGGAGTTTCGAGTACAGACACTGATCGATTAGTGAATGGAAACAATACATTGATAAAATGAGGTTGAGAAAAAAAGCTGTAGAAGATAAAACATTATTTTTCAATCTTCGAGTATAATGATGTCATTGGTCACGAAACTGGTCCTTTTTGCAGAATTGCTCTTCTCCAAATCTGGTGAATCAATAACTATAATTTCCTGAAAGGCTTGTCTGAAAAGTTTTTAGAAATTACGTGATTTATACGAAATTATGTTACCCCTTGGAACCAGATCTGTGCGGCTCGGAAAACAGAATATATCCATGTGCCTTGAGCAATGCCTTGGTGTCTCTTCTGAATACTTGAACATCTTCCTCCGTGTACCACAATTGATTTTTGACAATTGATTGAGCCATGAGACAAACGTGAATCCCACAATTCACTTCATCCCTTTAAGCCGGAATCGGACGATCAAAGTAGCGACGGTTTCTGTTCATTTCATCCATAAATTTTTCACATGTCCGCGCGGCTCCTTTCTCAAACTGTCCGCATACCAAATCGATGACGCATCAAAGATTAAAAGAATCCAATGGCTTTTTTCACAAACTGGGGACAAATACATTTTGGAAGGATTCAGGGTTCTCTGGATGCTCGCCACTCCGTGTCTCTTGTACATTTTCCAACTGCAGGGATCCACAAATGCGAATTGATTATTGACAAGCTTGCTTAAGAACCAATGGATTACTTCATCGCAAATCCATGCCTCTCTGCCAGTTTCATGATCGAGGCACCATGTGTTGAATTGCTTTTTTGGAATCACTTTCTCGACGATGATGCTGAAATACCAATTTGCTGTAATGATTTCAGAATCGGAGAACTTACTCTGGACTAGATGAGTTTGTCGAATTTCCCGACCAAACAGAAGAATCTTGTGAAGTGTATGGGATTAACGGGTTTGAAGAGGAGCCAGAGTTACCAAGAAGCAAAGCAAGGGAAGTGGAGGTCTGCAAAAACTAAATTTTCAAATTTAGATATGAATGTTTTATGGAATGCAGTAGCACCTTGCCTAATAAATTAAACTTTACCTCAAGATTTAAAGACGATTCGATATTTGTAATCGAGAGTCCGGAAGCTTCTGGAATTTGAGACAAGGATCCAGTCTGGAAAATTTCAGACATTGACCATTCTGTTATATTCAACACTAACCATTATGGCGTCTTTTTTCAGGAGATGATCAGAATTTGAATTTGGAGCAATCGAATCGTTAGTGAACATGGCTGGCATAAGAAGAGTATGTGATTGGGCCTGCAACTTATTTCGAAATTTCCAACCAAATTTTCTTCGCTTACAGTCGTGTCTGGTTCTGTGAGCGACGAAGAAGCTGTGGAAGTCGGAGTTCCACTGATTTTCTCGACTGGTGATTGCTCTTGCTCCATTTCCCTGAAAGTGTCAAACTTGGGAACCAAAAAATACAAACAATTTTCAGATGGGCAGTGCAAAGTTTATAAGAAAATGACCCTTGAGATAAAGCACGAGTTCAGATTTTTGCATTCCTAGTTATGATTTTCGTTGGAAAACATAGTCAATGCTATGAAACTAATTTGATTTTGATATTTTTGGATTTCTAAATATATTATACCGGTCACAGTAGTCTGTCAACTTTGAGCTCAATTATCTCGGTTTCTGTGAATGATATTGAAAATGTGTCAACTGATAAATTATTGATAATATTATGATAAATAATTTGTCAATTGACACATTTTTGATTTATCTCACAGGGATCGAGATAATTTAGTTCGAAGTTGGAGGGCTAGAGGAAAGTGGGTACCCCAAAGATGGGTCAGAGACCATAGTCATGACTGTTTTTTTCGGAAACTTTTCTTCATCCTTATCCCATGAAAATAGAGATTTTCCAAGAAGAAAGCAATTTTCTTTTATTTTTCACGCTTTTCAGTTAATTTTTGGTTAGAAAAGAATTTTCCAAGGAGAATGTTCATGAATATGGTTTCAGATTTACTGAACAAATTTTGCCAGCTAGAAAAATTTGGATCACAAGAAAAAACTCACTTTTTTCAAAGAAATTTCCACCAAAAACTCGATATTACGGAATCCTCGTAGATTAAAAATGTAATAAGAATAATATAGGATATATGGATAATAAGCAGAAAAATCAAAGTACCAGGAACTCCCAAAAATCCATTCATGTTCAGGATTTTTTGAGAGTTCCCGGGAAATATTGACGTCTATTCTGTTAAGACGTCTTTGGTAGAACTGAAGGGTATGTGTAGGGTATGTGTGTAATAAAAAAGCGCACCTCGCTTGTCCTCTGCGTCTTTTCCACTTGTTGCCCCTTGTGTCTCGCGTTTCTCCAATCTCTACACTATCTCAAATATGACCCTGAGGGAAGAGACGTCGACTGTCCGTCCATGTAAAATTGAGCTACAATAAAACATCTGTAGCCCATTTTATATAAGGTCATTCAGATTCACTGTTCGACAATGGATTGGGGAGATTATGAGTGATAATAAGAGAAAACAATAATTGCAGGAACATTCAATAATGTGATTCAGATTCACAGATCGGATACCTTTTTTGACGAATTATACTATACACAGATGAATTATTTCTATGGGAAAATTGTTTTTGACAAGAGATACTGTCGATTAAAAGAAAAAATTAAAAAATATCACATTTTTCGGTAGAACTACGAACAAAAGAGAATGATGTTCCAGTTTTAAGTAATTTTCTGTTTCACCGTATAGCGGTACTCATTTGAAATAAATAGATTACTTCTTCAGTGGACATTCAAATGGTTTCGTTTTGATAATTTCGACAATTTCGACAAGTTAAAATTGAATTTTTAATGGGAACCGCGATACCGTAAATACTATAACAGAACCGTCAATTTGGGCCTAAATATCTCACTTCTTTGGAAAGATATCAAAAAGTTGTAAACTAACAAAATGTTTATCATGATATCAGCAACATTTTATTAGTTAACAACTTTTTGATATCTCGCACAGGAAATCAGATAAATGAGCTCAAAATTGACGATTCGGGTGGCGTTCTATTAAACTGTTTACGGTAGTCTAGGTCGAAAATTTCTACTTTTACAGGAGACACCGATTGGTCCCTTCAGCTACTTGTCAGAATACATTTAGCATAACCTCTTTTCTTTTCATGCCTTCGTAGTACCCTCTTTTTCACAACTGAATCTATTGCGCAATAATTTTCTCGATAACCCGGGGGGGGGGGGGGGGGTCAATGAGTCATCAAAGTACTCTGTTGCGCAATGAGGAAAAAGAAAGAGCCCAACTGTTGTCCGATTACGGTAGGAAAGGGCGAGGTGTGAATCGGTATATTCGAAAACTGCGAGATTAGTGTTAGAGCACATTTATATAATTTTAATTTTTATTCAATATCAAATCTTTGAAAATTAGCAATAGGAAGTTCACATCATTTTTGTCTTCAGTTGCATTCCAATTCGTCATCTTTCACATCGGCATGGGCACTATGCGCGATATCTCGAAGAGCTGAGAGAGATTCAGAGTATAGGCCTGTTGGACATACGGAAAAGAATTGAAAATTCCTTCGCAGAAAGCTCTCCATCCTTATCAACATCAGCCTGAAAAGGTTATCGTAAACAGCCTAATAGAATAATGAGGCATGGCGCGTTGAGCTCATTTATCTGGGTTCCTGTCAAATATATCGAAAAATAGTTAATTGACAAAATTTTCCTCCTAATATCAATAACATTTTGCTAGTTGACTTCTTTTTGATATTTCCTAAAAAGGCCGAGATAATTAGGATTAAACAAAACCATGACTCAATAAGAGCGTCTCGGAACGGTTAGCTACAGCTAAGTATACATTAGCTCTAATTATCTCAGTTCTTAGATAATTTATTGAAAAACTGTCAACTAAAAAAATGAAGGGCAAAAAATTTGACTTATGTTTATAACTGAATTTTCTCGGTTACCTTTCCCAGAAGTTGAGATAGAGGTTTCCCAGCAGCTGAGAATGCACTAATAGTACCTTACTAATGGAATCCTACACTTGAACTTTGAGCTCAATTATCTCGATTCCTATAAGATATATGAAAAGTTTGTTATCTGATAGAGCGTTTGTCACATAATCACCTAAATTTTATTGATTGGCAGTATTTTGATTTCTTTCAAAGGAGTCGAGATAATTGAGCTTAAAGTCATTCAGGTCATAATTCTCATTGAAATGGGTCATAGACGACTCGGCTACTTCAATTTAAATTATCGCGGTTCTTATAGGAGATATGAGAAACTTGATAACTGATAAAACATTTTCCATATAATCGCCAATATTTTATCAGTTTACAACTTTCTCCTATGTCTCATAGAAACTGAGATAATTGAGCTAAAAGTACAGTAGTATTAGACGAATTCCTCGATGATGTACTTCCGGGGATCAGGAGCTCAAAAAATAGAACATTTAGTTGTAAAATTCCTTCTAAAAGCTAATACACTGAAAATTTTTTAAAAATCATAGAAATACTGGAAAACAACTCCAGAAACTTTCAGAAAGTATTTAAAAATCAGAAGTTTTTTGAATTCCTAAAAAATCTTAATATCTGAAATTCCAAAAAAAAACAGAAATGAATTGCTAAAAAACTGGTTAGAATTTAAACAATTTTCTCTTTAAAACTCATTGAAAGCATTTAAAAAAAAGAACCCTCACCTGTTTCTAAGCAAAAAAAGAGTTTTATGAAATATTCACATTTAAAAGAGTGATGAATAAAAAAAGTATATAGGATACAGATAGAAAAATCAAAGCCAAAGGAACTATCCAAAATCCATGCCTTTTTTAGGATTTCGGATAGCTCCCAAAAAATTTGACGTCTATTCAGTAAGTCGTCTCTGGACCAAAATGAGGAGTATGCGGGCAGAAATCATAGGGGCGACGCGCTTTTTTTTCCTATGAGTCACTATCACCGATTGCTCATTTCTGTCTCTCTGAGTTTCTCAATTCTCTACACACAATAAAAACACAATAACAATAAAAAAATGAACTACAATAACATCGAACTGCAATATGACATCATCAACCCATGATGTGCCATTTAGATTCACAGATAATTTTCATGGGAGATTTTAAACGTGGTGGCCTAGAAAACTCAACTTGCAAAAGTTAGGCCGCCACTTCAAAATGACATAGAAAAGACTCCTTTGTCATGTTGAGACAGTTCTAGGCTAAAAAAAGATGGTGGCCTAGAAAACCCAACTTTCAAAAGTTAGGCCATCTCATCAAAAATTTTCGAGAGACTTTTTCCAGCCAAGATTTCGAGGCATTCCTAATAAACTGGTCAACTGGAGAGCATTCAAAATTCGAACAAAAACACTCACCTTTCTAAAAATTCGAAACCACAAGAAATATTAAGAAATCCTTTTTTTCAAAAGATTTCTTGAATATAATAAAAATATTAGGTTGGCGGGAAAGTCTTTGTCACTCTGTTTGTTTAATCACTGTTCTCGTATATGGAGGCTGTGTATGATATCGACTCTAGTGAATAACAAGGTGATAAGAACCTTCCATATAAACAAGTCCCCATCTCCTTCCCTGCTCCTCATCTGTAATTGAAACGATATGTTTGTTCCCACTGCTATTCACATCAGACATGTTTTGATTTACCTCTTCCTATCTCACACCACGATGAAGGATTCGGAAACTTTCTTGAAGAATGTGTACAACACACATGCCCCTCACTACAATACTATTCGCAATTGGTTCCATCGTTTCGAAAAAGATGACTTCTCGCTCGATGAAAAGGATCGCTCTGGGAGACCCCGTGAGTTGGATTTGGACAAGCTGAAGCACGCATTGCAATCGGATCCATTTCAATCTAGCCGTGAACTAGCTGTCACATTCGGAGTTCACCATAGCACAGTCCTTGAAGGTTTGAAGTCTCTTGGAATGAGAAAACTTTTTGGTCGATTCATACCTCATCACCTGACTCAAGCCAACCTTGACCGCCGAGTCGACGATTCGATTCTCTTCTCACTCTCCACGCGGGCGATCGATGGCTGGACCGGCTAATAACCGGAGATGAGAAGTGGGTCTTCTACGATAATCACCACAGGAAATCCCAGTGGGTTGGAGAAGGAGAGAGCCCACAGGATGTCCCCAAACCCGACCTTCATCCGAAAAAAGTGATGCTCTCTGTGTGGTGGGGAGTGGACGGCCCCATCTACTGGGAACTTCTGCCCGAGGGCAAAACAATAACTGGAGACCTCTACACTACTCAACTACGAAACCTCAAGAAAGCAGTCGACCGTTCGGCCCTGAAAGACAAGAAAGTGTACTATCAACATGATAACGCTCGCCCACATGTTTCGAAACAAGTGAAGCAGGAGCTGATGGGATATGGATGGAATGTTCTCCCTCACCCCCCGTATTCTCCTGATCTT